AGGCTCGGCAGCTGCGCGCTCTCCTGGGAGAAGACAGCTGTGCCAAGGAGGAAGAGGATGATGGGGACAGCTGGGAGGGCAAACCTGGGTGCACCAAGCATGGGGGCCATGGCTGAGGAGCACCCTGGGGTGGGGGCAGGCCCTGGCTGTGCATTGGGGACCCCTCCTGAGCATCCCTCCATGGAAAGGGATGTCACTCAGCAGCCGGCCACGCCGACCTCTCCTGGGAGAAGACAGCTGTGCCAAGGAGGAAGAGGATGATGGGGACAGCTGGGAGGGCAAACCTGGGTGCACCAAGCATGGGGGCCATGGCTGAGGAGCACCCTGGGGTGGGGGCAGGCCCTGGCTGTGCATTGGGGACCCCTCCTGAGCATCCCTCCATGGAAAGGGATGTCACTCAGCAGCCGGCCACGCCGACACGGGGGGGACATCGCAGGGTCCCTGCGGGGAGGCTGGGAGCAACCTGCTCCCTCCTGCCACCCTGGGGTGCCTTGCTTGTGACTGAGAAGCAAACCCCCAAATACCCCAATGGGTTGGGTGTTTCCTGAAGCCTCTGAACAGGATGGGTTGGGAAGAGCCCAGCAGGGCAGTGGGGCCAAGCCGCCGGCCTCTGCTCCTGGAGCAGGGCGGCACCGACCGGAGGGTGGCCGGAGCACACGGGGTAGGGGGTGCTGGCTCCCCCCTCCCCAGCACTGCCTGGAACAGGGGCCCTGTTGGCAAGGGATCTGCTGCCGCCTCCCTCGGGGTGGAATGGGGGGAGCTGGGTGCGAGGGTCCCCCTTCCCTCAGACCCACTGCCTCCCTGGTTTTCAGCTCACTGGGACTCTCTCCCCGTTTCCCACCGAAGCAGTGCAGGTGGAATCCAGACCAGAACGAAACCAGGGACTTTTTGCAACCAGGCAAAAAATACAGGAAGCCAAGCCTGAAGAGAGCCATGGAAAAACCCTAATGCCTCTAAGACGCTGCTCTGCTTTATAAAGTCAGCCCCGCTTTCCGCAGATGACGAGCTCATCCCTGCACAGCCACCGCCAGGCCAGCCCCAGTCCCGCTGCACACCCTGGCCCAAGGTTTCCTCCTTGCCTGAGCACGGAGTGTCCCCAAAATCAGCCCCGGGTGCTGCCAGCACCCACAGAGCCCCACGGGGCAGTGGGGCTTTAGGTGGGGACAAAGCCTCGAGGGCCAGCTGCTGGGGCTGCAGCACGGCCAGCACAGTGGATGGCGGCAGAGGCAGGAAAGCTGCCGTCCCCGTCCCCGATCCCATCCCCATCCCACAATGGGGATTGTTCTGGAGGCTGTGGGCAGGATGCGGCCCGGCCGGTTCCGCGCCTGACTCACATCCTCACTGGCTGGGAGGGAGCCGGCGGAGAGCCACGGCTCCGGCATCCCTCCCCATGGGGCTGGGACACGGGACA